TGCATGTGTCTTTTCCCGATTCCTCGTCTTTGGCCCAGAGTCCTACCACCCCCGATACCGCCGTGAATCTTGCTGGAGGCAAATGGTCCATATCTGTTTTGCCGTCTCGCTGCGCGGTTAGTCTCTCAAGCGCGGACACAATTCAAACGCTAAACCTGCCCGCGCGTGTTTCAGAAGCGGCACACACAATTGTCTCCACGCAGCCGACTCCTAATCCTTCTGGCACTGGGCATGGTGAACTACTGTTCCGACTGCCAGTTGATGTTGAGACGGGACCAGTAGTGGCTTCCCGGCCTGCAAATGACCTGGCTAGCCATGATAGATATGAAGTGCAGGTTCCATGGACTGCCAAGGATATGTGTGCTGAAACCCGCGTTCGATGCAGGCAGTGCAAGAACCTGCTTTTTATCCCGTCGAAAGAGGGAACGGTTATGTGGAAAGACTTACCCAGTCCTGACTGGGCTGAAATGATGGATTTATGGCATTGTCATAAACCTGATACGCATGCAGAGGATCATGGTGACGCAGCAACTGGTGCCGGGCTGCACGCTCATGATGAGAATGAAATTGTCAAAGGATATGGTGCTGCCAACCAGGTCGTCTGCACTTCCGGGACAGCGTTGATTGATGTTTTATCCTTCGTGATGGCTGAAGGCGATTGTCAGGGATTAGAAAAGTCGGTAAGTTCGAAATTTCGTTCTTTTCTTCCTTTGTCTTTGTGGCTCCCATGAAAAATTACCGCAGCACAATATCTACATTCAAAATATGTCCGGTCATTGTGTTGCTCGTGAGCGTTCATTTCATGAAGCACATAACCGCAACATTTACAGGTTATTATGCGCTATCTGTTTTCATTCCTTGCTTCCTATCTGCCTATATCACTTCACCTTCGGGCTGCAAAGAAGGAGATAAGATTGCAACATGGACTTCTCCAAGATTCCATGTCCCACGATCTTGTTTCCGATACAACTGCCCAATATCAATTATCGACCGATAAAAATCGCTGGAATCCACCGCAAGTGGTTCCGCACCTCCGATTGCCTGGTACTTGCGCCAATAACAGCCCAGTTTATCGTGAGAAGGGGAGCTAAGGAATTTGGGGAAAGAAAGGGTCACACCAAGTGCAGGCCGCGGAAGAGAGAATCCTCATCAAGCCTTGATTCTACCGAATTAGGGGTTGGTAGATGGAATCCCTTCCCCTGCACTCGAGATAGTCCTTGATTCGCTCATTTTACTTCCTTCCTTCCTCGCTGTAGATACAGGCTTTTACTGGGGATAGATTCACAAGAGACTAGGAAGAGAGGAGGACTTAATCGATACATGAAAATCTCTATAGCCTGGAATGTATTTCGCCGCGGAATTTTGACTACTTACCCGGATCTCTTCCTGCCGTTTTCTGGCGATCTTAGAAAACGCTAGACGATGTCCGGTGGCAGTATTCGCTCCGAGGTTTTGTGGGTTTCGCGGGATATAACCTGAGGTACACACTCGCAGACACTGGTGCAGTATTGATGCGCAGATTGGAAAATAACAAATGATATTTCACAGACGTGATTCTTTGATGGATAAACCCGATGTATTCCATGAAGGTTGTATTGGCTAATGCTCGTCCCTGCGAAGTTAACCATTATTCTGTGCGAGCGTACTGCCTTCCCTAATACCATTAGTTCTCTAATTTAGACATGAAACGTTCTTTCCACCTGTAAAGCGTATTTTCAACGGCGTATATGCTGACATGGACGTTATGGACCCCATTAGACATGCTCATCGTCGGCCACCGCTCTGCACATCGGAACCAGTGACCCCAAATCCCAACCCGTGGTAGATTTGTCGTGTTCTCGCTGCAGCGCCATAGTCGGAGAAGAATATCCGTCCTTATCTGGCCTGAGACTATACAAAGCAAATGTTTCTCTACTGCGAAAGCCCAAGGACGGGATCAATTCTGACAAGGATGCGTGGGAGACGTACCCAGTAGATATGATCGTGGGAACACAGTTGTTGGAGCTAGCTGAGAGGATCGGAGCGAGGAGATTCGCTGTCCATAGTACGGAATACGCAGGGGACGACCGTCGAGACAACAAGAGCGGCTTGCTGGTGAGCTTATTCTTATAATCTCATCGCACCTTCTCCCGCTGTGAACCAGATTTTTAAGCGGCAATGACGATCTACTAATTCGTTCCAATACGCAGCTTTGGGTGTTCAATCCAGATCTCCGCTATTCCAGTTTGCTTTCATACTCTACTACCGATGGAATCGTGTCTATCGCTTCCCAACGGGCTATGAAAATACTCTACCAAGAAGTCCCAGATATCCAGTTGATGCTCAATCCAGCGCAAGGGGTACCCTCGCCAACTGCGCTGGAAGATGTGAGCCTTCCTCCTAGCATATATGATGACATGAAACAGGCTCTTGAGAAAAGTAGGGAGACTCTGCCCATTTCCGCGCGCCAGTTTCGAGAGTGGCGGGTAGGCTTGTTTTCTCGGTACGAGGAAATAGGATGATCGGTGCCTGGGCGCCCAGCGTGACCTGTTTAACGATCGAGGAAACTCTCCTCCACATCCATGGTGCAAGAAGGCAAAGATTAGGAAAGTAGGGCATGCATTAAACTTTACAGTGACTGGTGACCAACTTCCTTATTGAGTTTGATGTCTGAAAGTATGGATGGGTATGACGCATTGAGTGATAGTCTCTGCGCTTGGCTCTTCCATCTCCTTAAGCGACTCGGATGCTCGCCAAGTTGTGCATTTTCCGTGCGCATATCACCAGATATCCACTTTTGATCATCTCTCTATTCTTTCTCTCTGTACAGTATCCTGCTGCTGTTAAAATCCACTGTCACTGCATGTGTCCATTTCTTTGGGCTTGGTTTACGACGCCCTTGCCCCATATACTACAGCCGCATGGTTCCGCATTGAAGCAACTTATCTCATTCCCAAATCACCGTATTGACATTTTTATTCGTTTTGCATTTTCCCATGGATATTGACTACAATGATGGTTCCGACATCGAATGGTCCTACATGGAAGACATTGACGAACAGATGCCCGCTGTTACTAGCCTTAACAACAGCGACAATCACGATCCTTATAGTATGGATAAAAACATCATCTCCGATGACGACTCCCTCATGACCGATACTGTGGATGGCCGTAATGCTCAGGATGGTAGTGGACACAACGAAGAGGGCTGTTCGTCTACTCCTACGTTGGCATCCAGTCATGTTCCCCTTCCCACTTCATCCCCGATGCAAGTCCAAACCACTATTCCGATACCTCCCGGAAAACCTTCCTCTCTCGAATTTGTTTCTCCAAGTCATGGAGATAGCGCTATTCATATGAAATGGCAAGCACTTCGCCAACCTTGAGCCGCCCCAGGCTTCATCGCTCGCCGCCTCTTCAAACTACCGCCCCTAAACAGTGTGTCTCAAAAAATCCATTTGATGGTCGCTTCGCCGGGCATGCCAAGGACTTAAACGCTCAACATCTGACCACTGCCGGATCAAATCTGGACCACACAACATTCCCACTGTCTCTCCGCAATTATCCATTTCCTCCAAACCAGTCCGACGCTCGGAAATGCCCACGGGTGCATTCCCGTAGCCCAATTTCTGAACCACCGTCGACTTAAACGTCGATCAAGAAATAATAATTGTTTTATCGCGGTGATAAGGCCCCTTCATTTATGTAACTATATTTTTTTATCCCTCGAAATCATTGCGGCTAATATATTTTAAAACCCGTAGGAGAGCGAATTTGTCGCCCACTCCAATCAACAAATAGAGTGCATTTTGTGCAAATAAAGTTTTCAAAAAAGACAGTAGTTATGATTGTAACTAGTTATTTTAAAGACGTGGAATTGCAATTTCAAATGACTATTAAAGGCCAACTTGCTGAAACTACGTTTGCTGCTTCCAAGCGGAAGTGGGGCCTTTCATCCATGGTAGGGTAGGTTGTGCAGCAGAGCTTAAGCTTAATTGAGCCTCTTCCTAAATTTAACGACGGATCAGGAATTTATAAGACACCACACTTTGGATATAGACACCAACGCTAAAATCAATCAAGTTTAGCCAGGTAATTGAATTTCCATTAATTATTTACTATGTAAAAAACAGGAAATCTTATATGCATGCAGAAATCACTGTCTGTCTGCCTGCTTCTCATATCCACTGAATCTCTATGAGAATAGAGATTGTCAGCTGCTGGTCTCCCTACTGCCCGTGTCAATGACAGGGGCCACAGGATACAACTGATATGACTATCTTATGAGCTGAGTTTAAGAGGTTATTAATAGACTATTTTTCAAGAAATCCCTGCTTCAACTGATAAACTGCATTGTCTTTGATACACAGAAGACAGAACAGGCAGTTCTGAAGAATTCATGAGAGGATGAGAATAATGAGTGACATTCTTTGAATGGATGAGAATTATTTGAGATAGGGATAGTAGATACATATATTAATTAATGGAAAATCAATTACCAAGCTATTCCTTATATACACTACTGTAGTGGGGATGATAATGTTACGGAAGAGGCGGAGCTATGGAAGCATCGGACCCAGAGGATGAGCGGGAGAAAATGATATAAGTATAGGGGATCCGCTCATATGGTTACATCAAGAAAAAGGATTTTTAGAAGACAGTGCATGTGGAAGGACGAGAGCTTTGCAGGCATTCTATATTCGAGAATGTTCATTCTTAGAGAGAATTCTAGTTGCTTTATTATCGGAATATTGATTATTGATTTTGATTGTCGATCTTGAATTGTTTTCTCCATCCGCTAGCTACCACGTAAGGTGTAGCACCCGTTCTCATCACAATACTAGTGGTGGGGTCTGTGTCCAAAGTGTGGTGTCTGTACTCCGTACGGAGTATATAAATCCCTAATCCATCGCAGAAGCCGCGTTTGATTGGAGTTACGTTACCCTTGATTCCGACCCAATCATCGCCGTGTTTAACAAGTAAATTCACGTGATTGTTTAGCAGCCTTGGCCTTTCGTTTTAAAGGAACGAGGCGCCAACAAGAGAGAACCGATAAACGCCGTTATTTGGTGGATCGCTTCCGCGACAACATTATATATTATTCCAGAAATCGGGAATCTCCTAACAGTCTGTCATACCTTGGCGTATCAAAGGTTGTGCTTTGCTTGGTTTTTTTTTTTCTTTTTTAACCTTTTTGCCGCAGCAAATGGACAGCCATTTAGCCCCATGCGCGTGGATGGAGCGCAACCAATAGCATGGTATGGGGCCAACGATTCCCACTCCCGGGCGAACAGATGCTACATCTATTTTTGACTACGGATTACAGTCAGGTATACGACCACTCAGATGAATGTAACCCAGGCCTCCTGTCGGGGAATTTCACCGAATCTCGACTATCATGGCGAGAGGTTGCAGAAGAAGTGCCCAGAGCATATGCTTCCCCCACGATGCCCTCTTTTTATTTCCTGCTGGTCTTGTTCCAACATGCAAAGTCTTATCTCCAATGTTCGCGATTTCGGGATTTGGTTCATTGTTTACCATCCCATCTCAATTTTGTGCCGCTGTGATCGTCGGAGGCGAATTCACAAAAGGCCCGTGTGTCAGGAGTGCTCGTTGCAGACGCCTGTCTCTCGTCGAGTGAACCAGCCTGATTTTACCTTACAGGTCCCAGAGCCGAGGTTCAGCCGCCTTCCGGCAGTCGACTGCCTTGATCTCTTCGCATCCCTATTGGCTCTGATCCATACCCAGCATGCGACGTTGCTCGGTGGGGAGTCGGCGTAACGGGTGAGATTTCGATTGTTGAGTCCTTATAATGAAGGAGCACTGCTCGTTTTCCTTGGCCCCTTGAAATTACTTCTTTTCTGTCTGAATAGGCCTTCACATTATTACTTGAAAATTAAATCGCCGAATCAGCTGATGTCTAGGTTTTGATTGTCTTCATCTTAAAACGAGAAATCCCTATTTCCTTGCAATCACGTTGGTTAGGAATATTATTTCATCGGCATAAATTTCAGCAATTTTTGGTTGCTTGTCTGCATTGCTGGAGGAAAAACTACATACGAAACTACATACGAAGCACGAACTGCTTTCGTCCCAACACTCTTTCTTCACCTCCACCCATGCCCGCCCCGCATGCAGCCTGACAGCTACTGACCGCTACGTATTGGGCATGAGAGGTAGTTATGTGATACAGGTTCTGAAATCATTTAAACCGAAAAATCTTCCTAACTTCGCTCCACTTCGCTCCCTTCCTCTCATCTGTGTGATTAACTATTTCCACTATCAACCTCCTAGCATGACAGCAGGACATATCTTCTCAAACGGTGTCTCAATCCAAGAAAATGCCGAAAACCCGGAACAGTTCATCGCATTGCGAGGTTGAAATATCTTAATCTTGTCCTTCGCTTCACCGATGACAGTTCATTTCGCCCTATTTGACCTGCAATGTGTCAACACCAAGGTATGGCTAGCGTAATTCAAAATTGATTATGCTTACTAGCCGGGATGCATCAACACTCTGTACCACATTCGTGACAAGATTTGCCAGGAATAACCCACGTTTCCTTACCACTCTCCGCGCACTTTGGGCACTGGACACCAGGCATCTTGAACAATACCGTTAGCTGCTACAATAGTGTCTACTTATCTGTTGCTTTGGGTCTCACCGGTGACATCTCATTCCTTCTAGCCGCCGAACCATACGACCACATCATGGACATGCCGGGTTTGAAAAATTGTAAGCCCATCTTTGGCTGAGTTGATTGGATTTAGAAACGCGATGAAATGCTCGTTCTTGAAGCTTTGCTACTTCTTGCTAATACATCATTGTTAATAGGGTGACGTTTGAAGGACGAGTGCAAGTGGATGACTCCTCCTAAATGAATTACTCACTTACTAAGGACAGGAGGAAAAAGTTTATAAGCGCACCACTGCTGGTTTATCTGCGTGTTTGGATGAAGGATTTGGGTGGTTCGCTTCACGGATTATTCACAATAGCCCAGGGGAGAATTGACGACTTATTTATGATGCGTCGACCGATTTTGAACCTTTCCTGAAGTCAATATGATCTCCCACGATCGACTAATATGTCATAAAGAAGTTGTCACATGGACAGGTAGCCTCCTTCACACTCCGGGTCCCTTGAAGCAAATGCGCGAGAACTGGTGGATCAGCAACATAAGGTCAAGCCAGTACCAACACATCTCGACGCAACCAGTTCGATTTGAGATACGGGTATGTCGAGGATAAGCCAATGATCACTGCTCTATTTGACTCTGATACGGTGGAAATCTGCTCAACACGATCGCATTTTCCAGCGTCTCCTAAAAGTATCATCCAGCAGGGTGGGGATCGTTCCAATAGTGCCTGATATACGCTGAATAAGGTGTTGATATTCTGTTTTGTTCAACATCAGAAAATAAATGGCGCCTAGTCCGTGTTATTGTATGCCACATTACCCCATCCCACTTGCGGAGAAAAGTTTATTTGATCATTTAACAAACATCAGCGTGATCAGCCATTCGTGTCCACTTTTCTTGAGAAAATTGGAGAATGGAAATGCGTGTCAATTCTGCTGAAAGTACTACGGCCGAGATGGCGGATTTCGCCAGATGTTTGGTTATCTACAGACTGCGAACCAACACTGTGGAGCCAGACCAGATAGCCTTTCACTGGGTGGCTTCCCCGTAACCCCAGAATCAACCTGGACCGGAAATCTTTTACACCGCCTACCTGCACCGTGTCAATTCTATAATTCGTCGACAACATCCCACCTCGCAGCTCTTACAAATATTCATATAATTGGATTGGCCAGGTTGACACCATTTCGAAAAATCGAAATTACATGGCAACCCAGGGATAGTGCATCCCTATCAATCGAACGTGACGGGGAAAACGGCCGCGTGAGCAGAAAATTTGCCTACCAGGAGAAGTCCAGGTTTGCCATGGAGCTCATATTTCCATGAAACAGATTACCCGATTCGTCATTCACAAATAGCACGGCTGCATCTAGGCGGGATGCTTTCTGGGCGAGCCGATAAAAGTACGCGACTTTGATATCACAACTAACTGTGTTCTTTCGTCTCGGGCTGCAGCCAATCGATGGCCGATTTTAGAGCTATCCATCCGCCCCTCACGTTTGCAGCCAGCTAAGACCTGGGTTTCTTGAGCCAATTATTACTGCAAAGGAAGGCAGATCATTGCCATGACGAAACGGGAACATTGCCGATTTTTGGTTATTCCAACGGCTGCTCGTGCCACGTCTCCCACCTTCTACTGCCACTATGGTTTTCCGTACCATTTTAACATCTGGTTCTCACTCCTAATTGTTAGGACCATGAAGGCGACTCAACTTGAACGTATTTCCGCTCATTGGGCACCTCTCTCAGGCGGACCGAAATCTAAAAGTTTGCTACCGGACAAGCCACTTATTTAATTTCCAGATGATAACTCCTCCAAACCGCCTTCGATAATCAAAGAGATGTCGTCCCCGCAGAACAACGTTTGGGCGATCATATCTCCAAGCTCATGGAACTGAACATTGACTGATGCTGGTCAACCAATGAGGTTACGAGGTTGAGCAGAAAAATGGACATGTCACAATTTGTTTTAGTATGCATGAACCATGCATGCTTAGGTACATACTTACATCGATCCGCGGGTTTTCAAGACTTGCTCATTCCCTATTTCCTTTGAAATTTTACAAAAAATATGAGAAGACGAAAATCATGTTAATTTACGCAACACCAATTAGCCCGACCACGAGAGCTATCACCCACATAACACAGCCGGCTGATCACCAATTTCATTATCTAACAACTTCATATGGCGCCAAATCCGAAGACAAGGTGGAACTTGCGGCTGAGGATACATTCTAAACTATGCACGGAAAAGTTAAAACGTTTATCAGATTGAATTGTCTCGGGCTGCATCAGATAAACTTTATTCATCCCGACACTGGAGTCTAAGAGAAACTCTCGGAAACCGATCTAAGTGAGAATTTGGTGGTCTAAGCGATTAATAGAGCACCATATGATGTTAAATAGGCCACTCAAGTATTTCTCCTGAAAGCTATGGTCATTTACTGCAGAGCATAACCTTTGCAGACATGCTCCAACCCTATATGCCGACTCGGTAGGCTGAAGAAGGAGTGCAGTGGACAAAGGGAAATGAAGTGCTTGTTTCATACAAAATTACCAAGAGGTTTTAGGTTATCTTTTTCGAGATTTTGACAAGCAGGACGCCTTGGGACAGCTTGCCCTTCGTGTCAAAAAGCCGTATAAATCGAAATCCTTGGCGCAGCCGATCGAGTCTGATGCAAGCCCACCCCGCTAGATCATCTCTTCCAAACTCGCGGTCCTTAACTTTGAACCTGTCAATTCACTTTTGTATTAGTGCCATGTTCCTGCAAGGAAGAGCGGGGATACACAATATGCATGAGGAATCACAATAACGAAAAGCAAAGCGATCAGCAGGTCCACGCAACCGCCCCCATTTACATGGTTTGGCATATGTGGACAGTTTTCTTCCGTGTTCCTTCCGACTTTTTTAAATGCGTGGTGTTTCCCCCCCTCTTTCCTACAAAAGCAATAACAAGAAATACACTTTTTGTCGATATCCCCTAATTGACGTGGCACTAATCGCCTTGATTGGGATATTCGGAACTATCAATGATGGTAGGAGGGATAGATCGACGTGGGGGGCAAGAAATCGAAATAACGCAGGATATATCAGAAAGTAATAAGGGGGGAGGGGGGCAAGGGGGAAGAACTACGGAATGGACTAACCTCACAAAGCTCAGTTCCTCCAAGGTAACTGGTGCGTTTGGGAAATGCATCACTTGCCCTCCAAAGTCCGGATCTGAACCAACTCCAGCCTTGGTTTGCACTTTGTACTTTGCGGTACCCGTACCGCCTTTAACATTTTCGGTGGCGTGGATGTGATCCTTTAGTCGCTCAAGATAAAGTTGACATGCGACATAAGGGCGGAAGCTCTTGGCGTGTTCATCACCCACAGGGAGAGGAATGTTTTGCCCTGCAAGGACTTCGATCGATAAATCTAGGATGTGATACCGCGCAATATTTTGAAGGCTTTTTTCAGTTCGCCCTGCTGCTCCAATCCTCCATACCTTTCCTCTGTATGTCTCCGGCTTAAGAACCCAACCTCTATGCCCAGCAAACATTCCTTCGTTTATCATCATTCCCTTGTCACAGTTCTGCCAGTTTAATGCAACAATTTGAATTCCTTGTCTCCAGTGAAATGAGGGATCTAAATTAGACGAATTTACGCGCAGGCCGGACGGATATGTTCGCATCATATACTCTCGATTATGGTCAAAAAGAGCCTGGCGTTCATTATCATGGGCGTCCTTCACAGCGTTCTCTGAGAGGGAAAATATGTGGTTCAGGTGGGTTGCCTCTGTAGACATATTTTGGTAAGCCGATTCTTTCCTTTCTTATGCCAATGAGTGTAGTTCTCCCCCACTGCTCTTGATTGCTCTGAAACAGCGTGTGGCACACCCCTTGTTGGCAGTTACTAAAAATTTAACATTAATAACATACCTTGTTGCGAAAATTTACTAAAAGTGTATCCACGCGTGTAAATACCGAGTCGACTTAGAGCATGTAAAATCTTCGAAGGCTTTTTCTTGGCCTGAGCTGCTCTGCTGTTCTCTCCCCCATCAATACCTCCCACAGTGTCATCTTCAGCTACTGATCCTGACTTCTGTTTCCCAATTTCCGAGGGCACTCCAGGCATGTCTCCGGCTTTCGTTTGATCGGCCGCCGTCTCGGGTGGTGCCCATTTCACTTTGATCAAAATCTTGTTTCGCAGTTCTCCCGGGCTTGGCAAGTGTTCAATTTCACCCTTTTCCAGTTTAGCTTCGATATCAGCTGGAAGCTCAACGAGCATACCTTTCCATGCCTGCGTCATGATATCTACCATCACCTGTTGTTGCTCAAGACTTGCATGGACCTCTAGGCTCACGATGATTGGTAGATCGCTAGTGACGAATGCATAATCTCTAATTGCACAGCACACATCACGGAACGTTATTTCTTTCGTCAGAGTATAACCATGAAAAACGCGAGGTTCAAGCCGCAGGGGGGCAGATGACACTGCCGTTCCCGCAACTCCGGTTGCAGTTACCACGGTAGCTTCGGCAATGGCAGCTTGCGGCTGCGTTGTCGATCCTTTAGAAAGCCGGTCCAAGCGACTTGACAATGATGACAGGTTAAAACGGCCACTTTTCCTGTCCTTAGGACTCTTCTTCGCAATTTTCTGAGACGCTTTAGGCTCGCCACGGTCACTTTCTGAACCCGACGAGTCGGAGCTGTCCTCGGAATCCGGTTCACCATCCCACACATCAATTTCGAGACATCTACATCCTTTCAAAAGAACCTAGCAGGGGATATCATGTTAGCTCATAAGTGCGTCGTCAAACAGGAATTTCACCTTCAGGCTGAAACAATGTTATCCGTCGTCATTGTGAAGATGATATGCTCGGGGAACATTATCCATCCAATGACGCAACGAGTCCCCGGTTGTGAATAAAATCAAAGAACACCAAGTTCCCATACATCTCTGGGTATGAATGCTCGATTGGCCACTGGAGTTCTCCCAACGATTTCCCGAATTAACAATAGAGAATATGGGCAACCCATGAGCATTTCCGATTGTGGAGTAAAAATCTTGCTCTCCCCGGAAAAGTGCATCCGCCACTACGAATAACGACACACCACATACACCAAAACAAATTGCAATGTTGTTCTAACCAAGACCGAACTGGAAACAAGAAGGAACAATGATGGAAAAATCAAAGGTGGAGGGCAGACTTGAAAGTTGACATACATTTTTGTAAACCCTTGTGCTTGATTCGCTATACAGTTGATTGCCAGTGAGATAGGTATTGTGGCTCGAGCTAATAAAGTAATTGTTCATAGGCAACGACAGATCTTGTGGTTCAGGGGGCGCTTGAGCATACGCAGATGACATGTATCCCATAAAATCCTCATAAGTGCTGATACTATGTTGCTTCTGTGGAGGTTCGAGCTGGATGGCCTCAAGAAATGTTTCTTTATTGTTGGCCTGGCCCGTTGATTCGAAAATGTGCTTTAGATGACGCTTGATATGAGGGGAGAAGGCTGAAATTCTAGTGTCTTCAAGCGGTGACCCTGCACTAGATTTGGTAGGCGACGACATCGTGGGCAGGAAGCAGGATGTTAATCCAACGAGCAGTTGGCGTGCCTCAATGTGGCTTTCAGGCGCTGTGGCACAGAAATGGAAGAAGAGCGTGATACGATAATTTTTTGATGCAGCAGCACAATTAACAACGTAATCGATCGAATGATCTGTGGACAACCCCTTGTAGAACGCTGCAAGTTGTGGTTCGCTTTGTTGTATTCAAAGCGTGCAGCGATTGCGGGGTAGAAGTTTCAGGAGTAGCGTTGGCGGATAACTAATTAATGTCCCAAGGCGTGAAGGACCTAGCAACGCGGTATGCAAGTATGAAAAAAATGCAGCCAGAGCAAGCTTGACGAAGAGCATGGTAAGAAAAATAATACCTATGAAGTGAATTCGGCACGGTGTTAAATATATCAATTGTGAATAAAAACGTCGAGATTTTGCTTCCCTACCTTCCCCACCAAATCACGACTAAGACGAGAAAAATATTCACAGAGACTCTTGCTCCAGAAGCGAACTTCCGGTCTATTGACGGGACATAGATATGCCCAGCTCACTTCTTCTCGTCAGAAATATCGGTCAGACAAACGTTGGGGATGATAAATCCACCAAGGGTGGGTTAATCTCTGCAAATCCAAAATGGTTCGATAATACATCAGGATGCGTCATCACCGACTAATTTGCGGACATTTCCTGGGAAAGTAAAAAAGCTGCACAGTAAGTGACAATGATTCTGGTAAAGCTCAATATAAAGGCATAGATACATACCGCAAATCTTAAAATACTATCCAACCCAGTTTCAGGAACACCGAATTTTATACGGGATCCCTGGCACATTCTCCGCATTCCTAGAAAGGAGTTGGATGAAGGAACGTCGAATCCTAGTCTCGGGAGCACATCTGCAACCAAAACCCCAATTACATACTTGAGCGAACCAAGAAAATCAAAATTCAATGAAAGAGGTAAAGATATTGTATTGAATGGAAATGAGAAGTGAAAAATATTGAATTCAAAAAATATCTTGCATTTTGACTCGATAAACTCCAGAGTTCTGAAAACAAAAGAAGAACTTAGGAACACACCTGTGCTTATGGAAGTTCGTCTGTTAGCACCAAACTCATATCAATCAGACTCTGGATGTTGGAAAAATTTTCACCTCTTAGAAATCTCAGGACTGGTGGTTTTCCACAACGAATTGCGTTGCCCGGGAGGAAAGCAGCGGCAGGAGGATTTGGCGTGTGACTGTGGATTAGATTTTAGAAGGCAATTTAAATTGCAAAGTGAGTGTCAGGGGCATTCCGCTATGAATAGGTGCGATGCGATGGATGCTCTTGGCCTTTCATGACGCATTTCAGCAGTATCGGCTAGATATTCCTCACAGGAGTGCTGCACGATACCATGATAATTTCGTCAGTAACTAGCAGGAAAGTTTCCACAATCATATTTTGATCGATATCCATCAGCTCTTCCTCGCGTTTGGCCCTATCTTGCGGGATTTACCAAACCTACTCACACTTTTTCAAGTTCTAAAAGATGGAAATCATTTCATAATATGATCAGCATCTTCCGGATAAAAGAGAACGGTGCCAGTGGCGGAATTCTATCAATCTATTATCAAGTTTAACTTGAGACGACCAATTGGTGTTCTCTTAAGGTGGGTGGCTCCTCCCAGAGAACCGCAATGGTGGTGAACCGTCGAAAGCTATGAGTGACTCCATACATTAAAGCGAAAGTCCAGTATTCATGCAGGCACACAGTCCACTAGCAAAGAATGTACCTGCAATTAGATGGGTAAGTTAATGTTTTCAGGAGAGGGGTGAAAAAAACAGCCTCTTCATCAGGCATGTAGTCAACCCACTGCTTCCACTTGTGAACGTTTGGATGCGAGTTCTGCCTTACCCAGCACACCAAATTAGTGGGTGGTAGTAAATTGAATCTACACTTCAATGGGACCAGCATCCGACTTCAAAAAGCAAGCTTACCCAGTAGAGTTGGGATTGAGACCGTTTGAATGTAAGGGCTTTACTCCCCTTACGAGCACACCCGGGAAGTTTCGAGAATTCTTGAGACCTAAAGGGCCCCTGGGAGTTTCGCAGATAACGTTTCCTGACACTGCACCCGCCAGGTCCGTCGAGCAAGAAAATCCAGCAATCCACAAGTCTCCAGGTATAAGTTTCGCAGGTTAGAAGACGAGGTGTGGTTGAAGTTGTCTCGTCACATGACCCTAGAAGATCCACAATAGAAAATCTGATAGAAGAGGTCCGGATAGTACTCCAGATTGCTAGGACAAATGCAACAATAATAGTGATCTTGCTCTCCTCGTCCGCGATGATACACTCTCTTCAATGGCTACTGGTCGAGAGAACTGAAGGTGAATGAATAACGCTCTCCAGCAAGGATTTTGAATTGGAATCAAGCACATAACCCTAATAAATACCTGATGGGTCAGTGTGCTAGCCACATGCATATCAGAAAAGAGCTCGTTAATTACGCAAGAAATGAAGATGTTATAAAAAAAATAATCAACTAAACAATGTAGGACAACCTGTTAATGCTATCCAAAATATCATGAAATCTAGGCCATCCAAAATATACCAGTCCGAAACCTGTATACCCAAACGCCGGGGATATACCATATCCTCACACACAAAGATGCAATAATGGAGATAGCTGAAATAACGGGGAAATGAAATGTTACCTAGAGTACGTCAACTTCAAGACGATGTAGATAATAAAATACACGCCAACGCGAGCTCACCTAGGCACAAAGCCTAAGTGGAATGCTTCGCAAAAGAAATAACGAAGATATGCGGGCATACAGCAATCTGCCCTAACAAGGATGTTTGAATTCATACAGGTAATCCACCCCATGTCTCGGCGCGTCGAAATAGAGAATTGTTCGGTGTAGGTTTATGGACCTTCAACCATTCACCATTGAAAGCGTTGATGAGCCAGTCACCAAGACCTACAAGGAAGGAAATTGGCTTAGTTAAATACCGCAAATCGAACATAACTGTAATAGAACCCTAGAGTGAAAACTTACGGTTGTAGACCATTTTATGCGCGTTATGAAAATATATGCTGTGGTCAGAGTCTGGAAAGACGTGGACATCGTAATTATCAACGTCGTCCAGGTCAAGTTTATCGAGGAGGGTCAGTGAGTTTTGGATATGCACATTATCATCGGCAGTTCCATGCATAAGAAGGAAACGAATATTGCTTGCTAAAGCGGTGGTGTTGGAAATAGCGGAGGTATCATAACCCCCTTGGTTGTGTTGAGGGGTACGCATATAGCGTTCGGTATAGATGGAATCTGAAATATGTTAGCTTAAGTAAGCCTAAGGGTACCAAAATGTTGCATACCATAATACCGCCAATCAGTCACCGGTGCGACTGCCATTCCGTACTGGAAAGTTCGTCCACCATCCTGCTCGAGCGTCTTCAGAGTCATAAAGCCTCCATAGCTCCAGCCCCAAATGGCCATCCGAGATTCATCAACGTATGGCTTTGCCGCCCATTTTTTGGCAGTCTCTATTTGATCTCGAGCTTCATAGTGCCCGAGGTTGCCTCGAATTATGCAACGTGCTTTCCGGCCAATGTGGCCAGTACCCCTGCCGTCTACTGTGACAACAATATACCCCAGGGTCGAAGCAACATAACTCTGGAAGTCGACACTGAACTTTTTGGACACTGTTTGTGACCCCGGTCCGCCATACAGATGGAAAAGGACGGGGTATTTCTTAGCCGGGTCAAAGTTTGGTGGGCGTCGTTCCATCACGGGTAGCGAGAAACCATCCACAGTGACATGTTGGTAAACCTTGGACTCCAGTGAAAACAGACGGAGCTTTCTAGACAAGTGGTCATTCTGCTCTATGATTGCTTCAAACGAGTTTTCATTTGCAGGAGTGTTTATAACTTTCTGCCACGGTACTTTTGGGCCTCTGTAATTTAACAAAGCGTAACCGGCGCCGTTTGAGAAGGAGACATCATAGTAGCTGCTTTCCGTCACATTCGTCAATGGCTGAAGTGAAGTCCCATCGAAATTTACGCTATAGATGTGTCGTTCCCAGGGTTCATTTCCGGCAACAACAAAATAGACCAACCCTCTCTTCAGGTCCACGCCAGACGGCGCATTCACGACCTCTGAGTGACCTTTTGTGAGCATAATAGGTTTAGGATTATCAAGCGGTGTAAAATAGGCTAGCTGATCGCGCCCTTCGTAGATGACCGTATCTATGTAGCCATCGTCAAGCCGGCCATGATCCGGGTCTGCAGGAATAAACCGCGTAGATTGTGTCGGCTCTACCCAACCGCCATCCAAAGCATTGACATCTTCTCTTCGGACAATCCTTCCGGTCCTCGATAGCACATCAATAATGGCAATGCTAAGAATATCGCTTTCTCGATTAGTTTCTCTGACAAGGGCCTTCCCATTCGAAGCCCAGAGAACCTCAATTATGAGGCGATCATCGTCGGCAAATTCACTTGTGACGTCCACTGAGAAGACTTCACCCTTCCCAACATCATAGAACTGAAGATCCACGATGGGGTTCGGGGCTCCAGCTTTGGGGTATTTGACTTCGCGCACTTCGGGATAGTTCTCCTCGCCAGGTTTGGGGTTCTCTCCACTTGGTCGGGACGCGAAATACTGTATAGGATAGTCTGGCACTGACGACTCATTGGTCCGAAGGAATGCAATATAGTCGCCATCAGATGCCCACCAAGTCGCACTGTTACCTGAAAATACTTCCTCCTCATAAACCCAGTCTGGAACTCCGTAAAACAAGTCAACGCCACCATCAGTGGTTATCGTTGCAACTTCATTTGAAGTTAATTTTCTAAGGAACATGTTATTGTCCCTTGTGAACACCACAGCATCAGACTGCGGAGACCAGGAAGCAAGCTGGATCCGCCGATCTGGAGCACCAGGATCGAGTGGCTGTCCCGTTTGAGTCTCCACATCGAACAACCAGTACTTCCCTGTAAACGAATGGCGCCAATTTTTCTGTTGATCAGATAGCACGAGTACTGTCTTTAAATCCGGACTCGGCCAAGCCTGCGCGGAATAGACAGTTTCTCGTCCCACTGTAAACATTTTCTTCTGCATCAAAACAATGGATTTCTTGGACGCCTTCGGGTCCTTGCGACCGACAATATCTTCCACTCGTAAGTAGGCCGTCGCACTGAGGTTATCCTTCTCAAGAATTAACCCATCCTCGCCATTTGGACCGGGGAACCACGATATAGAATGAGCACGCGGCGCCCATTCGCCCCCCAACACCTCATCCAACGTTATCCTATTCCCTCGCGCACCTCCACTTGATATGTTTTCCTCGGACGCGATGGACGTCTGGGGCGTGTCGTGACCCCTGAATAAAAAAATGACAAAGGCAAGAGACCATCCACCGACGCAGAGAAAGAGAAGAGCCCATAACACTATCTTAGTCGTTTTCTGTACCGTCTTCCCCCCAGACGGGATATAGTCTGCATCCTCGACATCATATTCCTCCTCGTTCCTGTATTGGTCATGGTCATCATCACGTTGATCCTTCTCGCCTAGCCTTGAATCTTGCGTGGAACCATTTATTCTATCAATGACGGCGAGGGACAACGAAGCGGTGGAAGAGGAATAATCGAACGAGTTTATCGAGTCACGGAATTCTATGCTGCCTCTTGTCAACGGCTCCCTTTCCTCGTCCCTGCTACCTCCTTTCTCCCCAGCCATTGTAGCGGCTGCTTTTCAGAAAAGTCGTGACTCCAAATTCTACCGAGGCATATCAGTGAGCGAAGGAGTGGGCAGCACAGTGAATCACCTCCAGATGCCTCTATGTAAAAGTAAATGGAAAGGAGTCGGATGTAGGGGACAAAGGGACTCACTCTTGTTATGCCCTGATGAAAGAAACTCGAGTCTAGGCCATCCCAATGAGGAAAGGACATAACACCTGCCATTGGTGCGCCAATCACGTTTAGGTATTGCAGCAATTGGCACCGAACCTTATTATTTGCCAAGAAGCCAGTTTGCATAGTTGCGCAGACTAGTCTCATTTAATAATACAACAATAACTTTAATAATCTAGCGAAGGACAAAAGTTCAAAAATTATGATAAATATTGCACAAATAAAATATACACACGGAGCAAGGTATACCCCAGGGACAGATAATAATAATTGTAACTTAGTTGCTCGCCCCGTGTCATTGCTCTATCTCACATCCAGCCCTTCCATTTTACTTTTACGCTAGGCCAAGCATATGGTACAATCAGCAGCCTGCACGACTTGGAATAGTTGAACTCGGACGATGCAGAATTTTGATAAAAGAATATACGCTTCAATAAATATTCACAGGAAAACATAGTAGGAAAGGACAAGGAGAACCCAGGGCGAAGAAGTGAAAAAAGAGCTGAAGAAAACACAAGAAATTGGCCATATAATGCAACTCAGAGGAAATACAAATTCTCATGTGACTTTTGCCCGGTACGCCACAGGCGACCCCCGAGCAATACGATTTCATCCCCACAAGATATACACTACCGAAGATATTTGCGGACAGCAGACAAAGACAACTAATACGTCCGCTTGAAAGGAGGGACAGGCTTGCACTCATTCTCATCGAGCGTATTGGGATTAACGGAACGGTAGGTAAGGTCCACCTTGCCATGCGGCTCCTTTTGGAACGTCAGCGTGTGCTTCATCCAGTTCTCGTCATCACGTTCTGGGTAGTCCTCGCGGGCATGGGCGCCACGGGATTCCTTGCGGTTGGCCGCAGCAATAGCGGTTTGTGCACTATTGTCCATTAGTATACTCGGTACAAGAAAACTCAATTAAAAGTTGGCGTAGGATGTGAGAAATAAAACTTACGCGCAAGTCAACAGGTTTCTCAGTTCGAGAGTCTCAACAAGATCAGAGTTCCAGATCATGCTGCGGTCCTTGGTTCCCACATCATCAAACATCTGATCCACCTCGCTAATCTTGCGAACCCCCTCATCCAAACTCTCTTGGGTTCGGAAAACGCTAACATCAGTTTGCATAGTCTTCTGCATAGCGTTCCTAATGTCAAACGTCGACTTAGGTCCATCTGCATTTCTGACCTTGTCAAGAACACCAATAGATTCGGCTCCAGCATCAGCGCTAATCTCTTTGTGTGGCTGGCCAGGCGTTGCCTTGTCACGAATGCTGTGGGAGACTGCGCGGCCGAATACGATGAGATCAAGCAGAGAGTTTGCACCAAGTCTGTTGGCACCGTGGACAGAAACACAAGCAGCTTCGCCACAAGCATACAAACCGGGGACAACCTTGTCTTGGCCCTTCTCATCTATCGTGAGGACTTCGCCGGTATAACGAGTTGGAATACCGCCCATGTTGTAGTGAACAGTTGGCAGGACGGGAATAGGCTGCTTGGTAACGTCAACACCAGCGAAAATCGATGCAGTTTCTGAGATACCAGGCAATCGCTCATGGAGGATTTCGGCAGGAAGATGACTGAGTTGCAGGTAGATGTGGTCCTTCTCAGGGCCAACACCGCGTCCCTCACGGATCTCAAGAGTCATCGATCGGGAAACGACGTCTCGGCTAGCCAAATCCTTGGCAGTTGGAGCATATCGTTCCATAAATCGCTCACCCTCAGAGTTCAACAGATAACCACCTTCACCTCGAGAGCCTTCTGTGATAAGACAACCAGCTCCATAAATACCCGTGGGGTGGAATTGAACAAATTCCATATCCTGGTTGGGCAGACCAGCACGGGCAACCATGGCCATACCATCACCAGTACAGGTGTGCGCGGATGTGCAGCTGAAGTAAGCACGTCCGTATCCTCCTGTTGCCAATACGGTGTTGTGTGCGCGGAAACGATGGATTGTTCCATCTTCTTGATTATAAGCAATTACACCTTTGCATTCGCCATCCTCCATCAGAAGATCCATAGCGAAATATTCGATGAAATAGTTGGTGTTGTGTCGGAGGGATTGGCCGTAAAGAGTGTGAAGAAGGGCATGGCCGGTTCTGTCAGCAGCAGCGCAGCATCGGTAAGCTTGGCCTCCTTTGCCGTATTTCTGAGACTGTCCACCGAAAGCACGTTGGTAGATTCTGCCGTCCTCGGTTCTCGAAAACGGACATCCATATCCTTCAAGTTCAATAATGCTCTGTGGTGCCTCTCTTGTCATGTAATGGATAGCATCCTGGTCACCCAGCCAATCGGATCCCTTGACGGTATCATACATGTGCCATCTCCAGTCGTCCTCGTGCATACTACATACTCACAATTAGCGCACAACGTATTTCATATTGATTCCAACAAATGTCACTCAATTGCGAAAAACGTACTTTCCAAGGGCAGCATTGATACCTCCCTGTGCTGCTACCGTGTGACTTCTTGTAGGAAAGAGTTTCGAAACGCAGGCTGTGTTGAATCCTGCCTCAGCGAGGCCGAAGGCAGCGCGGAGACCAGCACCACCAGCTCCAACGACGACAGCGTCATATTCGTGGTCCTATAAATCGTAAGACACATCTTCGCTTTTTGAATCTGATAAGCAATCTGGGATAGCATGGAGACCACGTACGATTACGGGATAATTTTTCGAGACGAATGGAGAGGCTTCCTTCGCACGCAGAGGTTGATTCGCGAATATCCGGGCTATCCAGTTCGACACGGGTCAATTGGCAACACTCCCAATGGTAGCAATGGGTCTATGACATACCTGCAGGACGCGATGAAGAAAATAGGCGTCTTTGATTCTTTAAAGCTCTGGGGAACTGCACGGAAAAAACTTGTTAGTTCGGCTGCAATCGCGGGTACCCAGGGCGAGCGGAATGGAATATTTGCAGATAGGTATCATACCCTCGTCGCGGGAGCCAGCCTCCACAAGCCGGAAAAGCTCATGATGTCTCAAATTAACGCAGAACACTAGGAGATCCAATTAAGTCAAGCACTAACTGGAGGTGCTGTTGCGATAGGAATCACAGGGTTGCGGACAATCTCAAGTTGGGTTTGGTCTTCGGAAGGGAAGTTAGGTGGTGAACAAATTGATTATATAAGCAGGCTTCTCCACAGTTCCGAGGTACGCCGCCAACCAATCACAGCGGGTGCAGAGGTAATCTTTCCGACACCGGCCCGTGCACGTGAAGAATGCACGTGACATATATTTTGGATGCATTTGTTACTGTTACGTCTACAAAAAACAACATACTATATTGCCATCGCTCTAAGAAAATGAGAATCAAAATCACAGCGCTTCCCGGAAATGGAATTGCCATATGCCTTGTTCCACCATCGTACAGTACAAAATCCTCCACTATTCCCCGGAAAAAACGCCATTCCTCCTGTCCTAGTTGTACTGCATATACGTTGCAGTCGAGTTAAACTTCAGGTTCCCCTTGATTACCTTGTCAACTGCTGCTAGGAAATCTTTCTCCGTAGCAACCTTTCGCCGTGCTCGGATAGCGAACATTCCCGCCTCGGTTGCCACGCTTCGAAGCTCTGCTCCGGTCGAATTCGGGCACAGTCGGGAAATAAGCTCCCATCGGATGTCTCTTTCGACTGACATACTCTTGGCATGGATGCGGAGGATGTTTGCCCGTCCTTCCAGGTCCGGTAAGGAGAACTCGATTTTTCTGTCAATACGCCCAGGTCTCATCAAGGCTGGGTCAAGAGTGGACGGTCTATTGGTAGCGAACATGACTTTGATGTTTCCCCGGGAATCGAAACCATCCAACTGGGTGATCAATTCCAACATTGTTCTTTGCACTTCGTTGTCTCCTCCGGCACCATCGTCAAAACGGGCCCCTCCGATCGCATCAATCTCGTCGAAGAAAATGATGCACGCCTTTTTTGTCCTAGCCATTTCAAAGAGTTCACGCACCATTCGTGCTCCCTCTCCAACATATTTTTGGACAAGTTCACTGCCAATAACACGAATGAAAGTGGCATCCGTTCTGTTGGCCACAGCCCGCGCACAGAGCGTCTTTCCTGTCCCCGGTGGACCGTAGAGTAGAGCTCCCTTAGGTGGGTCGATTCCTAGACTGACGAATCGTTCTGGCGAAAGTAGCGGCATTTCAACAACTTCTCGAAGTTTTTCAATTTGTTCCTTGCATCCTCCAACGTCTCCGTAGGTCACATCAGGCTTGTCTTCCACTGTCATCATTGTAACACTGGGATCGATCTTTGGAGGCAGAGGGAGAAGAATCTGGTATTTATTTCGGTCCACGCTAAAAAACAAGAAGAAGAAAAAGAAGTGTACGTCAGTTCACTGTCCCTCGACTGAAGTCGCATGGATAAACATGGCTCACCCAACTCTCATGCCCTCCTCAATATCCGTAGGGCTAATTCGTTCCCCGAGGTTCACGACGAACTTGGCTATCTGTTTGACGTTGATGACATATTTGCTTTTTTCCGGATCCTTCTCATCTTGTATAATCTTCGTGCAGCGTGCGACTTGTAGTGGTTGTTCTTCTTGCATACGTTGTCTATCTGCTGCAACATCCCAGAGATGCGGTGGCGCGAGCCCAGTGTCGGATTCCTAAGAATAATGAGCTTCATGATCGCACCAATAATAAATAGAAATATGGTGCCTATTTACCTTTACTCCAATCTTCTCGTTAACGCTTGCTTGCTTCTCTTTTATTTGTTTTTCGAGCTTTTTTAAGGCTGCCGCGTATGGCGCTGCGCCGTAGGTCTTGAGAACTTGGATGTCCCTGTAGGATAGGTTAATCGGAAGCTTCCAGATACGATACAGAACCAACGACGGGGCACATCACATACTCATCTGTTAGCGGTGTAATCTTCTTCTCTGGCTCTTCATCATCTGCGAAGTTCTTCTTGTACTTCTCCCAGTTCTGGCCCGTAGCGCTGGGCATGATGGCGGAAGGAAAAGAGGCTGGTGAGGGGTAGGATGAAGGGTGAAGGTTGACGGTCGTGAAGCAGCCGCGTAGGATAGCTAACTGAATTCTTCTTTCGTAACTAATAAGGCAAGTCAGGCATGGGTAGTGATGGGAGTTGTATGCTCAGCGAGTGCTAGTCAAACGAGGTTCCGTTGGTGTTAGTGTTGGGTCACGCCGGGGAGCTCAGATATTACGTAAGGTTGGCCAGAGCTGTCAACGGCGCTAGTGGAGGGATCGCCAAGCATCTCAGTGGGAAATTCAAAAGAGTGCGTGGTTTTGAACAGTTCTCCAACACATCCCCATTAACGCCCTTTTCTTATTGTATAACGTCACTTACATAGAGATTCAAGATGGCGTCTACTGTGAGCGCCGCTGGAAATGGCGGGAACCATAGCTTCAAGGTTTGCGCGTCCGCGTTTCGCTTGTTTTCTGCGAACATTGTGCTCACTGGTATAATAGGACAAGGAGAAGCCCATGGCCGTCCGTGCGGGTAATATCATGGCAGCTAGAGGTATGTATGGCTATGACTTCTGGATTACTCATAACTGCTTGCTGATTTTCCTCATAGCTGTTGCTGATGCCATAAGAACGGTATTGCGCTCCTAAATGCCTGCTATCAACTCGAAACGTGGGGCTAACATATAACCAGTCATTGGGACCAAGAGGGATGGACAAAATGGTAAATTTGACTCCTGACATGGATGAATATAATATTGGATTGCCAGGCTTACCTGTAGTAGATTCAAACTGGAAAAGGCGAAACCATAATTGTACGCACTACGACCTCCCCGCTATCATTTACAGGTATCTAACAGGGCATAGACGAACGATGGAAACACGATGTTAAAGGATATGGCTGTTATGCACCCTGCCGCAAAAATGCTGGTGGACCTTAGTGCAGCACAGGATGTGGAAGCTGGCGATGGAACAACCTCTGTTGTTGTGATTGCAGGGAGTCTATTGGGGGCTGCAGATCGGTTATTGGGGAAAGGTGGGATGGGATCCCTCTCATTAGCGTCTGCATTTATCCTTTTCAACAGCTGACGTCTTAACCAGGAATACATCCAACTGTTATCTCTGAATCTTTCCAGAGAGCTGCGGCCGCGGCGGTGCAGATTCTTAACGACATGTCACACCCTATATCCCTTTCAGACCGAGCAACTCTTCTCCAAGCCGCTTCAACGTCCTTGTCCTCGAAGATCGTCTCTCAATATTCAAACCTGCTCGGGCCCATTGCCGTTGACTCCGTGCTAAAAACGATAGACCCCAAAACAGCTGACAATGTCGACCTTCGTAATATCCGTATTGTGAAGAAAGTTGGAGGCACGATTGAGGACTGCGAAATGGTGGATGGTTTAATATTGCATCAGCCGGTCATGAAAAGCGCTGGCGGCCCCGTCAGAGTTGAGAAGGCCAGAATTGCATTGATTCAATTTCAACTAAGCCCTCCCAAACCAGATGTACGCTCATATCCTTTTCATCCAGTTCATCATAAATGCTGACCATGATCCCAGATGGAAAATCAAATTGTCGTCAATGACTATCGACAGATGGACAAAATCATTAAAGAAGAGCGCATGTATCTTCTCAACATGGTAAAAAAGATTGCCAAAACCAAGTGCAATGTGCTTTTGATTCAAAAATCCATCCTTCGCGATGCCCTGAACGACATCTCCCTTTATTTCCTCTCTCGCGTGAAGATCATGGCTATAAAGGACATCGAACGTGACGAAGTAGAATTTCTCTGCAAGAGTCTGGGCTGCAAACCCATTGCCAACATCGACTCATTCACAGAGGACAAACTCGGAACCGCAGACTTAATCGAGGAAGTACAACATGTCGGAGCCCGCTATACCAAGGTGACCGGCATCAGATCAGCAGCCGCAAATCAGACCGTGTCTGTCATAGCCCGCGGCGCAAATAGCCTCGTTCTCGACGAAGTGGAGCGGTCCCTCCACGACGCCCTTTGTGTGATCCGATGCCTAGTTAAGAAGCGTGCCCTCATTGCTGGCGGCGGTGCGCCCGAGATCGAAATCGCCCAAGCTTTATCGAAACAATCCCGCGCTCTCACAGGCACGGAAGCGATATGCTGGAAAGCTTTTGCCGATGCAATGGAGGTTATCCCCACCACCCTTGCAGAGAATGCCGGATTGAACGGCATCAAGGTCGTCACAGACCTCCGTCACCGACACGCTATGGGAGAGAAAAATGCCGGCGTGAGCATCCGAAGTGGAGGGGTTAAGGACAATATTGCGGATGAGAAAGTGCTGCAGCCGCTACTTGTGAGCACGAGTGCGATTGAACTTGCAGCTGAAACAGTCAAATTGATCCTACGAATTGATGATATTGCTCTCTCTAGGTAAAGAGCGAAAAACACATTGGTCCTGTGAAAGTTTTTAGCCTGCGCTGGGGTAAAGCTGGGGGGTTAATGTATATGCCAATGCAAAACATATGACTGGAGAAAGAGTTGAAAAGCTGTGTTTAATTATCCGATCCACCTAGAATAACAACATACATCTCAACCCTCTTGCCATTGTCGTGGACTTCCAACAACGAACGAAGTAAGTTCATTCAATGTAAATCGACTTGGTGATTTCACCCCTCTGCATTCCCCAATTCCTACCGAAATATATGTTACTATTTGCCATCAGCTAAAGTTCAACGTAATATGCTTTTATCTCAAACACTGCCTATCGAGTTCTTACAGGTGAACTGTTCTTTTCTTCTCTTTTTATTGTCTGCTTAGCATATTCATTACGCGTAATAAAGATGCTCACTCATGGCAGTCTAGAGCCATTAGATCACTCCCCCAGAGAAAAATTTCGTAACAGGAGTCCGCTAAAAAGCCAAATCAGGAGCATACCTAGACATAAATATATTTGCACAACCCATATCCAGGAGGGGTATATTGTCGCGCAGAGTGAGAATAAAAGCGGAGATTAGTCTGGAAGCTGAGAGAAGTACGTACCCACCACAAATTGAGGACCAGCTGGGTTACCCCCTACAGGTAGTCATTTCTTGTGTCAAGCAATCTGAGTAAAAGGGGGATTTCTAGAACAATGGAAGGGCGTGCCTTGTACTAGCGTACATAGTATTCATAGTGAACGAAAGGCCTCATGCCATTCTCAAGCTGGGATAACTGACTGAAGGAAAATAAAAATAAGTCGAAAACAGGCAAAGCCGATCAAATAGAACCTTGGACGAAAAGTACAATAAAAATATAGACAAGTCAGTGACATCGTCACACGTTATAAGAACAGGGTAGTAAGAAGGGGCCGCCGCATCGCTCACTCAGTCATGGGGGAAATAGGGAAGTCCATATGACAGGAGACGTAAGAAAGAAAATTGCCCGTCAGATCCCATAGAATGTTCAACTAGCAATCAATGGCAATCGGGTAATGGCGAGACTTGCAAAGAGCGCGGTAACAACACAGATGGCGCGAGGTCGGCTTCGCTCCTTTACTGATTTCCGTGGGATACCAAGGGTCATCGGATTCGGCAGATCAAGGTGGATGAGCTCCTCTAGGCCCAGCAGCTCTTTAGTATAATTAGCAGCGTAGCTGCCATGGCGTCATATACGTCCGCATCTTGGGTGGTCGGCAGTATTATATTCATTGCATTTAAAATCTCCCGTTGAGTAGTTGATTGCCTAGAGTGTGGCAGGTGCTTTATATTGCGCGCTCTCTAAGCCTCGATATTTCCAGATACCTAGATAGTTCGCAATAGCATGAATGTAGATTCAGATTCGTGGCAGGGCATCCAGTTCCAGCACCTAGTGTTCAAAATAACCGATCAAGCGCTTCACAGTCTCAACATTGAAACCAAACAGACACATTATTTCTGTTCTTTCTTCCTGGCAGGCTGTCAGCAGAGCATACGTAGCTTCATTGACGTACTCGGAGCTGTCCTCCATCCCGACAACAATCACTGAGGATTTGGTGGACACCGCCACACTGTCTGAATATGAAAACTCTTGTCCTGATATTTGAAAATGCAGTCGCACTATTTGCATGAGAGCAGTCACTCCACCCAGTCACGGAAGGGGTTTGAAGTCACACTTCGATGTGGTTTTCGTAGGGTAATGTTGTCAAATATCGAGTTTAGTGGGTCCAACGGATAGCCGGTGCATAAGATGATGTTAGGATTGATCGCTGGGAGTTTCCCTTCTGATCAGGAGAATAACAAAAGATAGAGAGACATTTTGAGTCTCATTGCAGCTCATAAAAGGAGCAACGGAGCAATTCCTTCGCATTAAACAGGTATGATTCACTGATACAACTGTGCTGTATGTCTTCCCATTTTTTTGAAGGCGAATAAGGCTCTACAGCAAATTGCTACTAAATGTGCGTCATTTTGCATGTTCTCTATATCCGGAGAGACTTCTGTATTGTAGTCACTGCCATGGAGTCAGGAAATGCGTAGCCCGAATGAAGGCATTCAAGGCGGAAGAAGGTTGAGGCGATTAGGAAACGATGAGCCAAATTCCCTAAAGTTCTCGAGGGCGCGCACCAAAACCAAATAAGACGGTGTGGTCGAGTGGTAAGACGTCACGTTGTGGCCGTGCCAGCCTGGGTTCGATTCCCAGCACCGTCAGTTGCTTCTTTTCTTCTTCATTCTTTTTTTTTTCTCTCTTTCTCTCTAACTTTTTGACATTGCTCCTTTCCCTCTCCATTGCTGTACAATACTTCTGAAACCTACCATTTATACTACACCTTCTGGAGGATTAAATGTCGTTTTTAACGAACTTCGGACTGTAGGATGCACCTAGTTTGGTGATTGCAAGCAGTATCACGTGATATCTTTCGTCGGCCTTGGCATCAAAATTCCTCCCTCTCCGAACTTATGGACATCACCAACGGCCACGGCACGGCATCGAATTTCCTTCTCATTGTCAAATTGACCTGCCCCTACTTCCTTACCAATCGGGTTGTTTGATAGCTAATATTTCTAGTTTTTAATTTTCGATTTTGTCCCGGTCATCTTCAATTGCACACAAAATGCTGTGCTCACGTTGCAGAATGAGCCTGCTCTGCCGCCTTCCTTTCCGTCAACAGAGCTGGGCCTCCCTCCAGACATCACGATGGACAGTCTCCTTCCCTTACAGACAGGGTGTTCAACAGTATAGCACACCCGCCTCCGATGTCCCTGAGCCATCCCAGCCATCGTCTGCCCCATCAATCACCCTCCCGGGAGTCGCGCCTCCGTCCTCAAGTGCACCCCCAACAGCTAAGCGAAATGGGCCACCGCGTGTTATGAGTGGGACACCGGCGGGCACGAAACTAAAGGGCTTGAATTACATAAAAAATAAGCCTGACGTTTTTGCGATGGAAGATCATGAATATCCCGACTGGCTATGGGGCCTCCTGGATGAGGCAAAGGCAAAGACCAACGCAGACGGAAAAGCAGATCTTGCTGGTAAGTTTATGATACTGCGCCTGTTTTAGAATACCCATTTTATCTTTATACCTTCACCCGCCTCAAAATAAGTGTTCTGACCATCGGCAAAAATAGCTATGAATAAAAAGCAACGGATACGCCACGAAAGAAAAATGGCCGCTCTCGCCGCTTCCCAACCACGTAAAATCCCACTACACGAACAAGCCATCGACATCACTCCAGCAGATGCAGTCCCGCAAGAGCAGTCCCCAGAATTCCTAGAAGCGGCCGCATCCAGCATCAGCGCCCGCACGCAAATCACCAGGAGCGCTAGAGAGGCCCGAAGGAAGAGCATCAAGGAAGCTAACTTCCTACGCGGAATGTGAAGAGCGTGACGAAACGATGAATCAAAGTGTTAATATATTATTTTGTTTCGGGCAATGGAATGGTGTCGGACTTGTAACATTACCTCCGTTTCTTTGCTTGGGAGCAATTGCATGTTTTTCTAGCGCGTGTGTACATATAGACTGTGAGAGGAGAATGTGAAGCGGCAATGTATCCTATTACTATTTTTTTTTGGATCGTGATATGAAAAACTCTTGTAAACTGTGAAAAGTACCCATGACTGACTATCTTTGCAGCTCTATACTCCGCTTTGTTGGCAATATTTACTCTCATTTACTTGGCGGGTCGACAGAATCGCCAATCCCTCCCCCTCGGTATGTAGAAGAACAACAAGGATATTTTGCCTATGACCTGTCTTTGCTCTTCTTCGTTCTCTTCCTTTTGAGGTTCTACCGGATTCATGTACTTGAAAAGAATGGATTTTTTTCTCGTTCATTATTTCTGTATGAATGTTCTGTACGTCCATACTCCGTACTGGGTACATTGCAATACACATTAAGAGGCGACTATAATGTCAAGGCCAACGCTCTGTCAATTAGTTTTCATCTGAAAGAATTTTTACTGAGAGTTAAGTGAGTCTGCATCATGTAATATTGACAGAGCATCCGCGAAAGAAAAAAATTTGAATTCGTTTCACGAGCTTTGAGTGATATCGAGATACAGCTCTGCCAGCTCAACAAGTGACTGCGAATATGAATTGCAGATGTGTCTTCTGATAGAACGTGTTTATATTCATATCTTCATGTGCTCAATGGCAAGTATCACTTGGCAAAATATCACTTTTATTCTGATAACTCCTTACTATATTTTATTTATGGTATGAGAATAATACTTCTGAAAGCTAAATATTTTACATGAAAGCTGTGTATTGATTGTAGTGTGTAGCCTGTAAGGCGGGTAGTGATGTATTCCACCTTTAGCTGCATATAACCTTTGCGAGGGAGCTCAGCATTGCTCATACTCTTAACTCACCTGCCCTTTATGGATGCTCATCACTGAAGATTGGGCTGCTGGTACAGAAGAAAGATATGAATTGAGAAAACCGAATTGATTAGAATTATTGGCCATAAATGCATTGAATTTGTTTTGATTGCTGCTGATGTTGAGGAAAGCTCAAGTAAATTTTTTGGTTTGGGGTATCACAGGGGCAAAATATGCAGAGCAAGATATTAGAATCAGAGAGTTAAAGGAATAAGGAAATTAGAAAATAATAAAAGTATATAGAATCACACGGGGCTCGGAGAAACGAGTCCAAAGTCACAGCAGGACCGGATCATCACACAGCCAATTTTATTGCCTCCATCGGACTCCCTTCTATTTTCTTTTTTTCTCTTCAGTCACGGGCTGGCCTTTTGACGCCTTTGAAGCCGCCGATGAGCGTATTAGTCTAGTGTGTTGGATAAGTTTCCACGTGCACCATAGATATAAAATGCCAAACCCGGATGCTCCGATTAAAACGTTGAGCACAACCCATAAATCCGGTTTCCCTGCCGGAGTCGCAACGAACGCCTCAAGAATATGCCAAAATATCATAGACAAATAATAAATCAAATGCAATATCTTCGTCAGAACATGCAAATTTCCGGCGACATTCTCTTGCGTAGCTTCAGACGACCCTGCCGATTCATTCCGATATAGATCTAGCGATGTTGGCGGGAGGCCAAGCAGGTATGCCCACAGCAAGGTGAGGACAAAATAGGGAACGCGCAATTCGTCGCGTCGTAGCAGCGGGAAAAGTGTCCACACGCCGAGCATGTTCGCCAACCCAACCCATGCTCGTGTTTCCTTGCTTAAGCCACGGTCGTTGCCAAGAAGTAGGGTCATGGGAAGGAGTGGTAAAAGGACGCTCTTTTCATGGACTTGAAACGAGAAAAGGAAAAACCCCCACGCTGTGCTTGCCAGCGCTGGTAGAAGAAGTGTCGGTCGAGGGTATAGGCCGATGAGCGTGCATGGCGTCACGATTGATAGAATGGTAGCGCCAAGTGACGCGCGTTGGAGTAAAGTTGAGGGAAAACGGTGTAGTTTGTAGAATGTGTGGATAGTGCACCAGACGTTAGCAACTTTGTCTTCGAACAAGCCTCTCGAAAACGGGAATATGCGGTGGATTGCTTGGGCGAGCTGCAGCACAGGAGGGAACACCCACGAGGACTCATCCAGCTGCACTGGAAGATTCTGAAGGAGCGGTGGACTGGGCAGTGCCAGCTCAATGCCACGATATTTGTTATAGAGCGGCGTGATTATGAAAGGGGCGAACATTAGACCGAAGGCAAGAATCGTAATGAGACTAATGCACATCAACCGGCCAAGTCTGACACGTGGTGAAAAGCAGGCGCCAAGCATAAAGGCAAATATCGCGGGGGCAAAGTACAATGCCATTTGCTTGAAGGATAGGGCAGATACAAAAAACAAAGAAGCCCAAAGCATCCGTCCGGCGAACATGCATTCTAATGCAGCTACCACTAGTCCAAGCATAACGGTGTTGTACTGAAAATGTCCATGGTCCACGAGAATAGTGGCGGGTTGCATAAGGATGGCGACCAGCGCAATGGAAGAAGCCCAAACGTGAGTGCCTTGCATTCGGGAGTATCTCCTGAGAAAGATAACAACAGCAGGGACGTAGACGAGGTATTCGGAGACCACGACCGTGGCGCGCATATAAACTTTGAGTAACGGTCCTTCAATTCCGCGCGAGTCGTCCAGGGCGAACCAGGAAGGTTCAATGACCGAACCGCTATCTAATATCAGTAACATACTAAAGATATTCCAGCAAGCTCCGTGTCTTACAATTTGCCTAGAAGCCAGCTGTGGTAAGCAGTAAGAGGAGGGTAATCCAAACCCCACCATTGTAGGTCGTAGAAGTACCAAAACGATATAGGTAGATGAGTGGTAATTTCCATCCAGTGTCTCTGGGCCTCAAAATCGCCATACATTGGAGGAGTGTTTTGGCCTGAGCAAGTTTTGATACTTAGCTTCATTTCCGAAATTCAACGAAATTCAACCAAGGGGCTTAGTTAGAACTCACCCGAATATCCCCATAGGCTGACTGACCAGCGGAATAGCCCAACGACCATAAGAATCAGAGGTAGCACGACCCATTGGGATACGCCGGCACGCGCGGGCCATAGGAACGACACAATCGGGAAGGCAGGGGAAGGCTTGCTGGAGTCTGCGTTGGTAATAAGATCGACGTTCGAGTGGGGAGCAGCCGTGGATAGCAATCTTCTCTTCTTCCGCGGCCGGTGCGACGGTGACGGACTTGCGGAATGGCCCATTGCGCATCAATTGACGAGAACCATTGGTGGGTGTTGCAAGTCTGAAGGCCCGATAATAATATACGGGTGTGCGCAGGTCAATAGGTGGTGGATGTTGTTGGTTGTTGCTGGTCCGGGCTGCAACGAAGCACCTTTTGGTAACTCATGGGTCAGTTTAAACATTTAAGCTTGAATTAAGACGCTAACCTTATTTACTCTAGCGCAAACCCACCGACTTGTGCACAATCCCCCGTGAAATATCATCTAACAAAGAGTGTTGATCGGAAAAGTAAAATTCAATGGTTGCAGGGCCTACTAAGGGTGGAGTGAACGGGCCTGAGAAGGGTGCAAATCGTCGACTGCCTGACCCTGCAGCCAGTCCAAAGCGGAACAGCGTCCACTACCAAGGGATGGATTACAGCCATTGTCCAGCAAGGCTCTGACCATGCGTTTATCCTGCAGTCTTACAGCTAGACATAATGGCGTATCCCCTTTCCCAGTCATGACCGTTAGACTTGTGCCCCTTTCAATTAAAATTTTAACCATGTCTGCATCACCGCGCTCAATAGCTAAATGAAGACTAGTCCAGTTCATATCATCCGCCAAATCCGGGTTTGCTCCGGCATCAAGCAGTAACTTTGCCATATTAACTCTGGAGATGGAACTTCCCTTCGTGGAAAGCATCATATAGCTCAGGGGTGTCCAATAATACTCGCAGGTAGTTTTGTTCGGATCTAGACCTGCTTCTAGGAGAATAGCAATCACCGCTTCGCTTTTCCCTTTAGATGCTATGTGCAATACTGTTGGGGAATCGATCTGGCTACCCCGCCACTCTTTGGGGTTGGCACCCTTTTCCATCAGCATTTTCAGCACATCGGCCCTTCCAGAGTAGACTGTGATATACAGTGCAGTTTCCCAGAGAGCAGATAGGTCTACTCCGCACCTTAACCACAACCGCACCAGCGCTGTGGATCCATGATGAACCGCATGATGGAAGCCACGAGAGTAGCCATTATGCAGTATGTCGCTCGATTTCCAGTCCCACGTGGCCATTCGGAATGGATAACACATTTTGCATTTGCCAGAGTCTTTGTCTCCTTCACCACTACAGCGAAAACGTGAGTTCTTTTCAGCTAGCATGGTTCGCGCCATGGGGCCGCGGAGACAAGCCATATTTTCAAGATTCTCCTTGCACACTATCGAGTGCCAGAATATTGATCGACCGACCTCACCGCCAGCATCAGAAGCTACGATTTCAAATTTGAAGTGGTCTTCTTCTCGTCCTCGGTAGTGTGCCGCGGCTGTGATAGTAGCACCAAGAGTTCTAGGTGCGGAATGGACAACAGACATCCGAGCCATAACAGAAATGGCACAAAATGACAGAATTGGTTGAAGAGCTTGGGAACTGGCGGCTTCCATAAGGTCAAACAAAGACGAGGCCGAAAGCACAGCGGGTGCGCTTTGCCTGCCAGGAGAATTTTGGGCCGACCGATGCAAGATGGCGGTTGCCAATAAACAGGGAGACAGAAATTGGCTTTATCTCCGAGTCTGGCTTTATCAACATGTCATCAAACATGGCCATTTGAATTGCACAATAGACAAAGGGGAAGATCTAGCTAATATGGGCAGTACCCAGTGTCGTTCCAGATGCTGGTAGGATAACTAAGTCAGCAGCAAGGAGAGGAGAGGAGAAGGCGGAGAATCTTGGAACTGCCGGCGCTAGTCCCAGAGCACTCTAGCGTCAAGTTACCCGAAGGCGGTGGGCAAAATTTCCAGCCGCCATAATTAATTTTTTGAAAATTTCAGAAAAATATTTCTGCGCTCACATCCCTTTTGTTTTCCTCATCCTTCTCTATTCCATCCTTTTCTCCCATTTTTTTCTTTAAACAAATTCCTTCCTCTCGAACCAAGATATCTGTGGGATTTGACCTGTGAATCTAGAGAGATAAAGATTGGACCAGGCGCCGTCTTTTCCCTCTTCCTTTAGTTTCCTATTTAGGAGGCTTGCTGCAAGAACATACATACCTGTGGGCTTTTCTGAGCGCCGAGGGCTGTGGGCTTTTGAAAACTATACTGCAAAATCTATCTGTGGGACTTTCACCTGTGGGTTCTATACTGTGGGCTTGAGACTGTCCTGTCCGCTTTCAGTGGGTTATCGAGGGTAAATTATACTCGTGGGCATATTCGAGAAAGATATCTCGAGTTCAATAGTACATATAACAGCTGTCTGCTAGCTGTTTATTGGTTCTTGTTTTACTGAGGGCTTGAATTGTCGGAAGGCAAATCAAATACACACAGTGGGTACTGAGGGTACTTTCAGAGGTTGCCGCACATATTCTGTTGTAATATCGTTTGACTTGAAATCACTACACGGTGAGTGCTACACACTCCGTCCCCCTGCTATCTCCTTCTATTTTTTTTTTTTTTTTTTTTCCCTCCGGATGATTTAACTCCGTTATCCCAAATTTTTGGCATCGCGAGACCTAACCACTGGTAGATGAAGATGTCGAAAACCAAGTCAACAACGAAAGCTAGTAAGGGGGGCGACAAGGCTGTGTCCAAGGTGAAGAGTGGCTCTGTAACAAAAGCAGCCGTCTCTGCAAAGTCGAAGGGCAAGGAGGTGAGCAAGAAGGCTGTCAAGGAAGACAAGAAAAAGAAGAAGGCTCCAACACCGTCAGAATCTGAGTCCGAGAGCGAGGCTAGCGACAGCTCCGAGGCCTCCATTAGTGAAAGCGATAGCTCAAGCGAGAGTGAAAGCGAGGCTGAGATGAAACCTGCCGCCGCCAAAGCCGCCGTCAAACCTGCCAAAGCCGCCAAAGCCGCCAAAGCCGAATCCGAATCCGAATCCGAATCCGACTCTGAATCTGAATCTGATTCTGAATCGGAGGGATCATCTTCGTCTGAGGATGAGAAGCCTGCTACAAACGGTGCGAAAGTGGAGACAAGTGAGAGCGACGAATCTGAATCCGAGAGTGACTCTGATTCTGATTCTGACTCTGACTCCGAAGATTCCACCATCGAAGAAAAGAAACCAGCTGCCAAGGCTGTAGCAAAGGTAAGAAATATCCTTACTGGTTACCTACTTTGTCAAAGCATCTTGTTAATACTCCACAGGAATCCACTACTGAGGAATCTGACGCTGAGAGCGGCGAGGAGTCCTCCGAGGGATCCGAGGGAAGTTCATCTGATGAATCTTCCGATGAATCGGCCGAGGAATCCGAAGAAGCCGAAAGCGCTGAGGCTGAGAAACCGTCTTCCAAGCTCCAGAAGCGCAAGGCTGAAGACGATGAGGAGCTTGCCGCCCCCAAGAAGACTAAGGTGGAGTCCAGCGAAGGTGGAAACCTCTTCGTCGGCAACCTGTCATGGAACGTCGACGAAGAGTGGCTCCGATCCGAGTTCGAAGAATTCGGCGAGCTTTCTGGTGTGCGCATTGTTACCGATCGCGATAGTGGCAGGTCGAGGGGGTAAGCAGGAAAACTCTACTAATGAGTATATGTAATATGTAAACTGACTGGTTGATCCCCTATGAATAGTTTCGGATACGTTGAGTTCGTCGACGCTGCTGATGCCGCCAAGGCCCACGCGGCCAAGAAGGACGTTGAGCTCGACGGCCGTAAACTGAACATTGATTTCGCTAACGCTCGTTCTAATGCGGCCCCAAGAGAGCGTGCTCAATCCCGCGCTCAGAACTTTGGGGACCAAGCGAGCCCTGAGAGTGATACCTTGTTCATCGGTAACATCTCCTTCAGTGCGGACGAGAACATGATCTCCGAGGCGTTCTCGGAACATGGATCCATCCTTGGTGTTCGTCTTCCCACAGACCCTGAGTCCGGCCGCCCGAAGGGCTTTGGCTACGTGCAGTTTTCATCTGTCGATGAGGCTCGTTCCGCTTTCCAGACCCTCAATGGCGCTGATCTCGGAGGCCGGCCGATGCGCCTCGACTTCAGCACCCCTCGCCAGAACTCTGGGGGCGGTGGCGGCTTTGGTGGCCGTGGTGGTGGTCGTGGCGGTGGACGCGGTGGCCCTCGCGGTGGTGGCGGCTTTGGTGGTGGCCGTGGTGGTGGTCGTGGTGGTGGTCGCGGTGCCCCTCGTGGAGGCCGTGGTGGAAGCACCAATCGTGGTGGATTTGGTGATTACAGCGGCAAGAAGACTACATTCGATTAGACCATGACACGTGATATCCTCGATGTTGAGCTTTTCATATTACAAGAAGTTTTGAATTGAACGATTCAATAGGCGCTATGGATTGACTCCTCTTTGCCGTAGGTAATGTATGATATGTGCTTTGTGTTGTTTTGTTTTGGTGCTTTGTTCTCTGTTCGAGATTTTTTGTTTTCAATCCCAAAAGTTTCTATTTGTTGTTAATACAGATGCAACGCCTCCGGTCCGGCTAGAAAGACGATTTTATGGACCCGATTTTAGTTAATGTATCGGTCGTACCGTGCAATAATAATAACTTCCTGATATCAAAATCGTTGCCCTTTGCACGGACACGGGCCCAGCCCTAATTGGCTGCCCTAACCTTAAACTTCTTTAGGGATTGCGGGGTACTTCACGTGATGCAGCTGATAGCGTAAAGAGCAATGTACCCACGCACCTTTTCCCCGCTAAATGCACGCACCCCAAGCTCCCTGTGCCTTCATTTGGAATTTGGAGGAGTGAGCTTTCAGCCCTAGCACTTTGGGCAAACAACCACGCACTGCGTCATCAAGCGCCCGTTTCCTCTTTGGGCCCAGCCTCATCGTCTCTCATCTCCTCACCAACGTCTCGTCTCCCCGTCTTTATCTCTATCCTCGACTTCAAGTTCTTCAACACTCCCTTTTCATCAATCCGGTCTTCTTTCTCTTCTCCTTGTCTCCTTTGTTTAGATCTTCTACCAGGGTGGTGGTTCCGTACCCTTATAGCTCTTGAAATGCATAGTCCCGATTGATATCCCCACCTGTGCTCCACCCCCAACCTGCTTGTTATTATCAGCTGAGAAACAACACGGGACCTCCGGTGTACATCTGGCGTCTGGTTTCCCTCTCTTTCTACAGATTATACTACTACTATCAACCATACAATCCCCTCTTGTTTAACGGCTATTTTCTTTGTTATTGGCTCCCCTTTATTGTCCTCTACCCGTTATAAACGTCACTTAATTGTCTGTGCACCGCTATATCTTGCCCTTGGGTTACGGGCATATACATATCTCCTCCCCGTCCGCCCACCGCCCCTTCGATTCTGCCCACGTAGTCAGATCAGAAGCCGTTATTTAAACTTTAGTGTCAAGAGTCTTACCAAGTGGTGGCACATTCTTAACTGGGTCCCTCTGGTTTCTCGACTTGTCTCAACCCCTTTTGTTGCATGATCCCACATCAGCCGGCCCAAGGACACAGCATGCAGCCAAACCACCTTGAGCCTCACCGGCCTGTTTCCGACGGGAACCAGGAACGTATAATGCATGGCGCCAGAGATGCTGTCACGGCCCCTCCCCCACGAGAAACTGTTATTCAATCACGAAATACATCTGGTGGACGACATAACAGATCAGAGGGTACGTGTTCAGGTGCCATTTTTGTCAAAATCTGTGAACACAGGCATATACCCTCCCAGTCGAGTACCAAGCATGCATGTTGATCGCCATACTCTCTTCTTTTTTCCCCGATGTTTTTGGTTATCTTTTACTACTCTTAT